GGCGCTACTTGTTTGTTTGTTTGTTGCTTTTTTAAATATTGCACAGAGCGCTACGCCCGGTTTTAAAAGATGAGGCCCTACTCTGATTATGGACAAGTCGAAGTGCCCCGTCGAGATGAGGAAAGTTTGCCGACTCCTAATACCGACAGTAGATGTGAATGAGCAGAGCTGGACCCTGATACTGATATAAGATGTTAGAATGAGCAGAGCGGAACCCTGATACTGATATAAGATGTTAAAATGAGCAGAGCTGAACCCTGATACTGATATAAGATGTTAGAATGAGCAGAACAGAACCCTGATACTAATATAAGATGTTAGAATTAGAAAAGCTGAACCCTGATACTGATATAATGTGTTAAAATGAGTAGTGCTGACTGACCTGATACTGATATAAAGTGTTGGAATGAGCAGAGTTAACTGACCTGAGACTGATATAAGGTGTTAGTATGAACAGTGCTGACTCCTGATACTGATATAAAGTGTTAGAATGAGCAGTGCTGACTGGCCTGATATTGATACAAGATTATATGGTCGCTTTTAAGGACAAGCTGGCTAACCCAGATTTCGGGGGTTTCCAGAAATCTTGACCTACACCAAAAGTGGGCATTGCCCTACCCATATAGGAAAAGTTTGGTTTCATTGGTGTATATATTTGTTTGGTTATAGAGAAAACTCTCCTTGAATTTTAAAGAACTGTACAGGGGTCCAAAAACTTTACCTTCTATTTTCTCAAAACAGCAGTTTTCGGGGATAGCCCCCTTGTGCTTAAAAGCGACCATATTAGAATGAGCTGTGCTAACTGACCTGACGAGGCTCCGCGCAAAGAAGCCTTTGCAGCCTCCGCACGAATTGACCCCATAGTGTAGACCACTGGCAGGTTCCCCGCATACCCGGCACGGGGGGAGGAAGTGGGCGGATCTGCGCGAGAGGGCGGCGGCGGAGGAGGCGGGGCGATCGCTGTGCGTGGGTGTGTCTTTACTGCCATTTTCTGAACACCCTTCCATGACTGACGGGTTCTAGGGACACAGCTGATATTGGTGATTGACAGTTGGGGGTGACAGTTGATGATGTTGATGATAGGTAGTTTAGGGATTGGATAAAGTGGAGTTGGGGGG